TAACGTGTCTCTCAGGAACATTGTAATTTGTTCATTCAGCCCAAGGGAGGATCTACTGATCTAGATCTAGCAAGCTTTCAGATGCCACCAGTCTCTAGCCCACAGTCTTCCAAAAGACGTGCTACAGACGTATTCTGGCCCACGGAACAGGTGTTTTATAGCTTAGTTAGTGTATGAAGGACGGCGATGATTCAAGGGCGAGGCTGCCTCTATCGGCGTGGAGAACTGGAAGTCGGGTCTGGATGGCGCTTAGGATAGTGCCGACCAGGACTTAAGCGGGTGGGCAAGGTTGCTGAGCTGTGTGTACAGTTGTGTTCAGAATTATTCAACCCCCACTGAAATTGAATGTTTTGGCCATTTTGACATTGATTTTGATCATTCAGTCATCTTGCTTACATTTACATGAAAGAGGCACTTGTAGGTCAGAGAAATATAACCTTAAGTTTATAATGAAATAACCACAAATGTCTTTTCTGTGCTCACATCATTATTAGTTTTTATTCAACCCCCAAGTGACATTCAATCTTAGTACTTAGTACAACATCCTTTTACAGTTATAACAGCTTTTAAACGTGAAGCATAGCTTGACACAAGTGTCTTGCAGCGATCTACGGGTATCTTCGCCCATTCTTCATGGGCAAAAGCCTCCAGTTCAGTCAAATTCTTAGGCTTGCACACTGCAACTGCTTTCTTTAAGTCCCACCAGAGGTTCTCAATCGGATTTAAGTCTGGTGACTGCGATGGCCACTCCAAAATGTTCCAGCCTTTCCTCTGCAACCATGCTCTAGTGGACTTGGAGGTATGCTTGGGATCATTGTCCTGTTGAAAGGTCCAACGTCTCCCAAGCCTCAGGTGTGTGACGGACTGCATCACATTTTCATCCAATATCTCCTGGTACTGAAGAGAATTCATGGTACCTTGTACACGCTGAAGCTTCCCTGTACCTGCAGAAGCAAAACAGCCCCAAAGCATTATTGACCCTCCGCCATGCTTCACAGTAGGCAAGGTGTTCTTTTCGTCATATGCCTTGTTCTTCCTCCTCCAAACATAGCGTTGATCCATGGGCCCAAACAGTTCTAATTTTGTTTCATCAGTCCACAGAACACTATCCCACAACTTTTGTGGTTTGCCCACATGACTTTTGGCATACTGCAGTCGACTCTTCTTATTCTTGGGAGACAGCAAGGGGGTGCGCCTGGGGGTTCTGGCATGGAGACCTTCATTACGCAGTGTGCGCCTTATTGTCTGAGCTGAAACTTCTATACCCACATCTGACAAATCTTTTTTCAGTTCCTCAGCAGTCACACGGGGACTTTTCACCACTCTACGCTTTAGGTAGCGCACAGCAGTCGAAGTCAGCATCTTCTTTCTTCCACGACCAGGTAGCATTTCAACAGTGCCCTTTGCCTTGAATTTGCGAATGATGCTTCCTATGGTGTCTCTTGGTATGTTTAACTTCTTTGCAATCTTCTTATAGCCATTGCCCTTCCTGTGAAGACAAATCACCTCTTCTCTTGTCTTCCTGGACCATTCTCTTGACTTCACCATGTTTGTAACCACACCAGTAAATGTCTAGAAGGAGCTGAGTATCACAGTCATTTTAAAGCTGCCTAATTGGTGCTTATTATGCTTGATTGGTGCTCGGTGACATCCACAGGTGTTTTCAATACCTGATCGAAAACACCTGAATGAACCTCTCTTCTTCAGAGTGGTAGTCTTTAAGGGGTTGAATAATTGTGGCAATGAAGAAACCACAAAAGAAACATTTACTACTGTATTACATAAACAATTGATGTTATTTTAGTTGCATTTGGTTCTTTAAAACATCCTTGTAGGATTTCATTCTGAATACAATTCCAAATGTACACTATAGTCCCTAAACCCCTTTACAGCATTGGGGGTTGAATAATTTTGAACACAACTGTAGATGGAGGACAGGAACATAACTCTGCCTTTTGCCCCTCGTTTCATCTCTGTACTGGGAAATTCTGTAATTGCACCCATTGATCTTCGGCCCGCTTTGGAGCTTTTAGAGCATCGGACCTCTGCGGGGAGGGGGGGGACCCTAGTAATGATATTTAGGGTGTTTGTTTAATTTGTACGGAAGGTTCTGACAGCAGATGTGGGTGGATGGAAGAAGATAACATAGTTAAGTTTGGGATCGACAGCAAATCTGTAAACTGTTAATTGGGTGACTCCTTAGGATGCACCAGACTTTCTTTCTGCTTCTTCATTCTTTTCAGGGAATATTTTTGGCTTATTTATTGCAGGTGTAACAGACAACTTCTAAAGTGTCAGGCAAACATCGTTCCTTTGAGCAGTTAGAGAAAGGGTGCGGTTCTGGGTGGAGAAAGTTCATGTGTTGGAAATCAGTTGCAACAGCTCTGAGGGCGCCCTAGGACAGTGATGTGTACAGGAAATAAGACAAATATCTTTTCTTCTGCAGAATAAGAAGGAAATCCTCCAGCATATGGCCCCTTATATGGGCCTAATGATTCATTGCATTCAGCACTTGAAAAGAGGTTCCTTCTGTGTAGGTGCCAAGAGGAACTGAAGAAGCTTTTGAAGGTTTATTCAGGTTTTCAATAAGAACACAATGTGGTAATGAGAGACCACCTGGAAGTTCATTTAATCTCTGCAAACAGCTTCACAGTGACTTACGCTGTTCTATTAAGTGAGACGTGTAGATAAAATATGCAGCAACTACTTGCCTTGGTGTAACAGCTGAGGAATGCTCGACTAATAATAATGATTGTGTGCTATCAAGTCAGTTCTAACTCATGGCAACCCCTTTCAAGTTTTTCTATAGAATACTCAGAAGTGGTTGACCATTCCCTTCTTCTGGGGGCATCCTGGTGCTATGCAGCTTTCCTAAGACCCCATACAGTCTGGCTCTTCTCTGGAGGCACAGTGAGGAATCAAACTCCCAACCTTTGGCTCCACAGCCTGATACCTCATTCACTGAGCTGTCCAGCCTGTTTAACAGCTTGTCAGGCTGCTGAATTTCTCAGACCTTGTCTGCTGCTGACCTTTGCTACGTTTGCTGCCTTTAGTTCTTTTGGTGTATGAAATGGAAGGTTTTTTTTTTCTGATCCTATGGAATTGCACTCTTAGACCTACAATAAAATGTTGCAGAATATTCCCAGGTTCCTGTCAGAAGTGCTTTCGAGCAGTTCCATTGTTTATTGATCCTGTGGAGTTTTCTTTCAAAGAGTGAGAAAAATGGCCTTCTGCTGCCCCAAACCTCCCTTTTTGAGAGCCCTTGCTCTTTAAAAACAAAACAAAACGCCCATGGCTTTCTTTTCCCTGCCCTGCTCCAGCCCTTGTCCCCTCTTCAGGATACTGTCACCCAGTTGTGACCTCAGCAACTGATCTATGTCATCACACTTTCCCCTCAAATGAGACCTTCAGCATTTCACAGCTCAACTACCTTGGAGCCTAGCATTACTTGCTAGCCTCAGTCTCTGCCTCACTGTTGGTGACCTTAGACGTCTTCCCCTCCACCCTATTCCTTGGTGGTCACACTCAGAAAACCAGGGGAAAGAAGATCATGGATTTCGCTACCATTGTGAACAAGTAGCACTGTCCCTTTGTTTTCGCAACCTACCACCACGCAGGGACAGAGATTAGAAGCCATGGCAGAAGTTCACGTTTTCGAAGCGCCGTGCAAACCTGGAACACAGTGATATGAGTTGTTTTGCTTTCCGTCTCTCTCTCTGTCATCTGTGTTCATTAGCTCTTACCATGGTCATTTTTTATTTTTAATAATTACTCATAATATTTACTTGGTATGCATTTCTTTATGTTTGGGGAAGGAATTTGAATAGCAGGATTTTAGTGAACATCAGTTCATTTATTCTGTGTCTGCACATTTGCCCATTTCTAAAAATATTTCATTTTATTTTTCTTCAGTGTTTGGCAACCACTGTTTTTAAAGAAATGTAACATCCACTTAACATCTAGAACTTCCTGACACCGTATCCTCTCCAGAAAGTGGTGGCATTATAGAGTGAGTGAGTGAGTTAGTTAAATTTTACCCCACCTTAGTCCTTAAAAGGACTCAAGGTGGTTTACACTATTAAAAGACAATATTAAAGCTACCAACAGTGCATATACAAATACTGTACTGAAAATGTACAGTGCATATACAAATACTGTACTGAAAATGTACAGTGCATATACAAATACTGTACTGTCAGACAAATACTATACCAAAATCATAAGCAACACCAAAGCACATTCAAACCAGTATGATACAACAATCCATTAAAAACCCCACTCAGGGAACGCCTGCCTGAAAAGAAAGGTCTTGGCCTGCTTGTAGGAGGACAGTAAAGATGGAGCCAGTCTAGCTTCCTGTGGGAGGGAGTTCCCAAGTCTGGGAACTGCAACAGAGGAGGTTCTCTCCTGTGTCCCCACCAAGTACACCTGTGAAGATGATGGGACTGAAAGGCCTCTCCTGTTGATCTTATAGCTCAGGCAGGCTCATAAAGGGAGATGTTGTCTTTTAACATGGCTTGGGCCCAAGATGTTTAGGGCTTTAGGTTAGAACCAACACCTTGAATTCTGCTCAGAAACAGATCAGCAGCCAGTGGAGCTGCTGTAGCAGGAAGGTTATGTGATCCCTGTAACCAACCCCGGTCAGCAATCTACTGTATGGCTGCTGCGTTTTGAATCCACTGAAGTTTCTGGACACTTTCCATAGGTAGCCCTACATAGAGAGCATTACAGTAATCCAGGCAGGGTATAAAAACATTTACTTTTAAACTTGGAAAACCTGTACTGATAGCATTATGCCACATGAAAGATGAAACTATAATGCATGCAGAATTTGGAAATAAATATTTAACTCTAAGTTGTATGTGGTAACTTGCTGGATAGCTCAGTGAGTTGGATATCTGCCTGTAGAGCCAAAGATTAGGAGCTCAATTCCCCATTGTGCCTCCTGGGAGAAAAGTCAGTGTGTGTAGCCTTGAGAAAGCTGCACATTTCCAGGGAAAACCCCAGAAAAAAGGGAATGGTAAATGACTTCTGAGTACTCTGTATCTAGAAAACGCTGAGAAGGATCTCAGTAAATCAGAATCAGCTGGACAGCGGATAGTTATTGTGCTTTCCTCTGAAGCCCCTATTCCCCCAGGCCTTCACGAGGTTCTCACCCTTCTTCTTTCTTCGCTGCCACCAGGTATTACTGCTTTAATACCACTTAATCATGCAGACGTGTGCTTTTAAAACTTAAGTCATTTATTGGGTTAGAGAAGTTAACATCTGATTAATATTTAATAGGTAAATCACAGTTACTAATCACTTGTATTTGAATCAATTCTACTTTAACTTTAAAACTATATTAACTCTCTGTTCCATTCATTGTTCTTATAGATCTCTAACTCACTCTTAGTTCACTTTTCACACTGTCTCTCATTACCAGAATCTCTCCTTCAGACTCCATACAACAGCCTTTATATCCTCCCCTGTTGGCTCCGCCATCCGTCCTCTTATTGGCTCCTTCTCCACTGTTCAGCTGTGACGGACAGGTGAGGGCGGGGCTATTATTACTATGTAAATGTCACCTGAGAGTTGACATAGTCAATAGTTATGACCTATGATTGTTCCCTAGGTTTCTGAAACATGGACAGTCTTGCTACAGCCAACACTACCTTTGCCTTGAACCTTTTCAAGAAGCTAAGTGAAAAGGATCCCACAAAGAATTTATTTTTTTCTCCTTTGAGTATTACTTCCGCCCTGTCGATGGTCTTACTGGGTGCAGACGCGAACACTGCAGCCCAAATCTCAAAGGTGAGTCCTTTAAGAGAAATATTGTTGATTCTTAACTGGGAATTGCAAGTTATATACAACATGAAAACATGAGTGTCTGCTTTATAACAGGCCATGCTATAGTTCTAGAACCTAATGACCATTAACCTAACAGGAGAAGCCTCCGCACATTTCCCAAGGACCAGCCTAGACAAGACGCTGACCACACAGTTAGCAGTTGCTAAAGGAGTAGGTGGAGAGACCCGCTCTTGCTTCTTCTGCTCCTGGACTCCGTTGCTAAAGGAATAGGTGGAGACACCTGCCCGCTCTTGCTTCTTCTGCTCCTGGACTCTAGGTGGCTGATTAAAAGCTTTAACCCTTTGCTTCTAATGGAGTCCTGATCTAGATAGGTAGGGATATGCCTCCTCTTTGCAGTGTGAAGGGGAGCTTCTATTTAAACCAGTGGAACCTCTTTTTTGAACTTAATAGGTGCTGGGAGATGAGCCATGCCCTATATTAGTTACTTTTTAGAGCCTATCCATATAGATGGTAATAAACTGAGTGATGTCTTGAGGAGTCTGGCTCAAAGAAATATGTCCCATTCAATCCAAAGGGAAGGTTGGAATAGGGAACAACAATAAAAAATAACTGTGTTTTTGCTTCTTCAGGCTATAAAGTAGACTGAAGCTCTGTTGTGACTCTCAGTCCCAAGATCCCAAAAAAGAGCTAAAATCAGAAAGGACTTCCTAATATTGCAGTGATTTGTCATGTTGTATAGTATGTCATGGTCAGTCTTGCTGAAAGTCATTAAGTCTCTTTTTAAAAAAATCTTACAGGCTTCAAGTGGTCATTAGAGAAATGCTTGCACTCTTATTTGAATATTATGAGGAACATAACTGACATTAACCGCTTGTCCTCCTGCAGGTTCTGTGTGTGAGCAAAGGTGAAGAGGTTCACCAGGGATATGGGAAACTTATTCCTGAAATCAACCAATCTGGAACGAAGTATTTGCTGAGACTGGCCAACAGGCTTTTTGGAGAAGCATCTTATGAGTTTCTTCCAGTAAGTGGTGCTCCTCTGAATTTGGTTATGCTGTCCTATCCTTGTTCAGGATGACAGGTCTGCCCTTCCCATCCACCTGTTCTTTCCAATAATGTGTCCCAGCAGGTTTAGAGGGACATCTGAAGGGTGAGGAAGAGAACCAGTATGAACCAGAAAGCAGCATTAGTCACATAGTTCTAAACAGCCAATTAGCTCTTTTGGTCAGTAGTCATCCTGGGTCTCAGGGAACCTGCTATGAATAGCCAAACCAAATGGAGACTGGATTCTCTCCTTGTCCCATTTAGGAGTTCTGCTCATTTCTACCTAAATGGATGGTAGTAAGGGGCCCATACTTGCTGTGCTGGTGTTCAAATTACACATTCTTTGTAAGTGTGACTGTCTTCCTTTGAAGAGTTGTACAGCTGTAAGACAGTTTGCGCATTCTTAGTTTCTTCTGTAAAAGGGCGCCGGAGGAGACAGAAGAGCAATAGAGGCTTGCAAAAGTGGAAGGAACTTCACCAGGAGGGCTGCAAATCAGCAATGAAATTCCTGCTTCACATATTTAAATCCATTCTAGGCTACTGTGCAGAGCAAACGATATGAGCTTGATTTCACAGCTACTATGGCTCAAACTGGATTGTCTACTTGGTATTTAATACAGTATACAAAAAGTGAAGAAGGACTGCTCTGTTGTTCAAAAAAAGGTAATAAATGCAGAGCAGGATGTAATTCTGCTAATGTGCACGTGGCACCCCTTGCCACAAGATGATGGCTGCTGGAGAAACAGATTTCATTTTCCACGTCGCCCTTTCAAGGGGTGTTGGCTATCAAATGATACCTTAGTATGAACAACAGCTTAACCAAATGTTGGATGCAACTGTGCTTCTTTGTTTTTGTGGTGTGCTAGAAAACAGCTGTTTATAACTGAGTCACAGAGAGCTGTCTAGACGAGTGGCCCCAGTCCAGAGTCTTTACACATATTCCCATGCAAAATGTTATGCAAACTCCTTCTCAAGGTTTTCCTTCATGGTCCCCTTAAACTTCCTGCACTATATATTCTTTTCCACCATGTACTGTGCTATACCACACCCTCTGTACCTCCCAGTACACTGTTGTGTTTTTGAATGAGAATTCACTGTACCTTCCAGTACACTGTTGTGTTTTTGAATGAGAATTCACTGAACAGCACAAATGTGTTTTTCTCTTTCTGTCCATGATGTTTGGGATTCAGTGGCTTATGCAAAACTGTGTTACCCTCATGTTGCAATTGTAAGCTTCTGAAGACAGAATCGGACTGTCAGAAACTATTCTGCAGAGAGTCGGACGTATAGGACATGGTGGAAGTTATGCCTGGGTGGATGTGCACAGGGCTGCATGGCACATGCACCTTTGGATCTGACAAGATGATTCTTGAGCTTTATGAATAATGTTCAGTGGGGGGGGGGTGGAACTTCTGTTGTTTAATAGCAAACATTTGCTAATGAAATGCCAAAACCTGGGCACAAAGAGCTACGGCTATTTTTGCCGTTGAAGAGAAGTGTGGATAGGAAAGATCACATCAGGACTCAAGATCTTCCTGCATCTTTCAGGAATGGTATCGGTACAAAACACAGTGGGAATCGACCATCCTGCACCCAGATCCCGCATGCAGAGCTTGTGTGGGTCTATCAATTGCCTATCATCATTGCTGAGTATATTTGTGACCAGAAGTAATACTGGATTTTCAGAATGATTTATTTAGTTTAACATTAGTATTTTAAAGCTATGCTGTTAGTCTAAGCGTCATGAATTTTCCATATCATTATGTATCTCAGTAATGGAATCTGTTCTTTTTTTCCTCCCCTCTTTTTGTTGGGGCAAAAACCAAATGATAGTTTTAATTTGATGCAGAGCATGACCTAAAGTCTTGATGCTTAAAAAGCTTTGTTTGTGTTTAAGCCATTTATAGAATCAAGCCAGAAGTTCTACCAAGCCAGTCTAGAGAAACTTGATTTCTCTCAAGCCCCGGAAGATGCCAGAAAGCATATTAATACCTGGGTAGAAGAACAAACAGCAGGTGATTAAATATTTGATTTCCATGTAATCTGTCTTGTTTTTATTTTCTCAAAAAGGAAACATGAGATTCTGTGAATACATGATGGAACTTTATTCTGTGTGTATCCAAGAGTCTGTATAAGAGAAAGAATGCTATGCGCCTGTTTTAAAGCCCCTCTTTATTCCCTTCTAAAGGTAAAATCCAAAACCTGCTTGCCCCAGGAATAATTCACAATCTTACAAGACTGGTCTTGGTGAATGCTATCTATTTCAAGGGCAACTGGGCAGATCAGTTCTTGAAAGAGTGCACGTCGGAAAGGCCATTCAAAATTTCGAAGGTATGGGAAGTATGAAAAGAACAAGAACAGATCCAATATGTTGTTTCCTAGTTACAGTTACCCTGCAATATGGTCTGCCATTTGAATGTCCCCTTCAATTCATTTATTCTCACCAAATGCCATTGTCCATGTTGGGAGTCATGCCAACGGACCAAATGAAGTCCGATTGACACTACTTTGTTTCAGCAATCAGGAAGTTCAAGACTTTTCTCCATTTCTTCTGTATGCAAATCTGACAAACTTTTTTTTGTCAGATTAGCATACAGAAGGTATGAGCTGCTCTGTGTGATCCAGTTCCTCTCACAAACTTATTCCTTGTGTCACAAACCTATGCCCAAGTTCTCTACACTCATATCTGATTTTCAAAGAGATGTATTCTTACCAGCCTAATTTTGGCACTAAACTAAAAATACTCTAAATCTGTATCTTTTAAATATTTATTTAACCCTGAACCATTTATTTAATGAACCCAAACTGTACACTTCCTGTTGAACAGGGCATGATTCCTGAGGATCATAGCCGTGTGTGTATGGGACCATTTGCAACTGTTTTCAGTGCTGACATTATAGCAGGAGCTACCCACCACCGTGTCATTTTCACAAGAGCTGCTCTGTGTGATCTCGTTTCTACTCCTTCCCCTTATTCCTTGTTCTTCCACTTGCAGAATGAAAGCAAACCAGTGCAGATGATGCATAAGAAAGCTAAATACAACATGACCTACATAGAAGAGTATGGGACCAAAATTCTTGAGATCCCTTACATCGGTAACGAGCTGAGCATGATTATTTTGCTTCCTGACAAAATTGAGGATAATTCCACGGGTTTGGAAAAGGTGAGGCATGGAATGGAATGGTGACCTCTGTCCATTGGATAGCCCTTGTGTGTAGCTATTGCTACAGTAGCAAGGTTCTGCCCTCTTCAAAACAGCTACTTATATTCCTGTAAAGTACAGTCAGCACTGTTCTGCCCCTGTTCTAAAGACTTAGAAAGTTGTAGAAGTGCTTGGCTGAGTCTGCAGTTGGGTATCCATCTTTCTTTTCCTATTATCGTCTCATTACTTATTCATGTGCACAAGGTCAGTTGATGATAAACCAGAGGATATGATTGGCAGCTTTATGTTTCCGTGTTTAGTTAGGATAGTACTGTGATAGAAGAGACCAAGGCACCATTTCCAGCCTATTAGAGCGATTGGTCATTTCTTTTTAAAACAGATCTGTAATTGCCTGTAATGCAGACATGTTGCCTACCTCTCTGTAATGCAGACACATTGCCTACTTGAAATGGATTTAGTGCTGCTGATGTTTCAGTCAGGAGTAATAGACGGAATGCATCTGGACAGCATCTGTGTCATTCTGTGTACTGCCTTTCTTACGATCTTAGAAGATACTAATCTCCAAACACTGGGGGTGAGACAAGGAGGGAGCAAATTAAAATTGTTAGCCTTTAAGGTGCCACAAGACTCTTGATTGACTTTGTCTTAAATTCTTTCTTGGCTTGTACAAAAATACCGCCCCCTCTTTAAGGGTTTTCTGGTGATATTGGTGTGGCTGCTGTCAAGGTCACACTGCTAGAAATGGTAAAATGTCCACTCTTATCAAGAATAGCCCACCCACCTACTTGATTGAAAAAGAGTGTAATTAAACCACAGACTAACAGAATGCCACAGACGGTAGTGACTTGAGATGTCAGCTTAAAGCATTCACTACTAAAACTGGATTATGATCATACTGAAATTGATTAAACAAGGGCAGTTGAATTAAAATATTCATCTTGGAGCAGGAGGTGAAAATGTGTATCAGGGAGCAGATGAACTGAGTACTTCTAGTAGAGTTACAGAGAACCAGAGGGTTTACTGGGGATGAAAGGAGCTTTTTCAGGTGGAGGGCAAATTTCGAAAGCATGTCCTCCATCCACTTTCAGTTGCACGACATGTTCTTTCAAGCCAGAGTTACAAGATACAAATCTACAACCGGGATTTCCATCTTCCTAAAATGCCTCTTATTTGTCTTACTTTAGCTGGAGAGAGAACTGACCTATGAAAAGCTTGTGGACTGGATCAACCCTGAGATGATGGATCAAACTGAAGTTCAGTTGTCTCTACCCAAATTTAAGCTGGAGGAAACATATGACCTGAAGCCTGTTCTGTGCAGCATGGGCATGACAGAACCCTTTGAGCTCAAGGCGAATTTCTCTCGCATGTCACCCAGCAATGACTTATACCTGTCCGAGGTTGTTCACAAATCCTTTGTAGAGGTAAATGAGGAGGGGACAGAGGCAGCTGCGGCCACAGCAGCTATTATGATGCTGCGGTGTGCCATGATAGTACCGGAATTCACTTGTGACCACCCGTTCCTCTTTTTAATTCGGCACAACAAAACCAGGAGCATTCTGTTCTATGGGAGGTTCTGTTCTCCTTGAAGGCTAGTGTGCAATGGTTATGCAGTACAGTGTATCACACTGTTGTGTGCTAACAAAATGTCAAACTTAAAATTTCATATTCGATTTTTGTAAGTACAGTAGGAACCCCATATCTGCAGAATCAGTACCCATGATTCACTTATCCACTGCTTGAAAATATTAAATAACTCCCACCCCACCAAATATGTGTTTCTAATTTGTATTACCAGAACTGGTCACTAGAGGGAACCAGAGACTGCACAATATGTAAGGTTTACTTTAGCTGCAATTTCCAGCATCCAGGGAGGTTGTGTGTGGCTTGGAATTGATCCCACACGGATCCTGTGGTCCTACAGCATTACCTGATATAAGCTAATGAGCCTTCATTGCTGCTTTTTTGTCTACAGTGGCCTTTAAAATACAGTTTGTATATTTGTATATTTGCTCTGCCGTATGCAAATCCTTCTGTATGCCAGGCCTTTTTGGCAACAAGAGTTCTGTGCTACATCTTACTCTTATTGCATAATTATGCACGTTCATGTTCATCATGTCTTATTCAGTCCGGAAGATAACTCCTCATGGGCCACTAGCACTACTAGAAAAGTTCAAGAGGCCTTAGGGTTTTTTTGTATGTCCATTACTCAAGATCAGAGCACTCTCTCTTCACCTGGGATTTTTGCAAGAGCCGTTTTATTCTTGGTCTTTCTCTTTTCAGGACATTTGGCGGGTTGCATTTTAAGATGTAAGCAAACACACAAATTTTCCCAAAACAGGCTGTGATGAATGCCCACGTCACTCCTGTCACTCATAGCTGGAGCTCATTTGCATGAGCCTATGGGAGGACTGGAGGGGCGGGATCATTCAGTCAGTTAGTCAGTGAGTAGAGAAGGAGAGTGCCAGATCTGAAGGAGAGAGGTTGAAGATCAAAGAGAGATAGAGAAATAGAGAGAACTGATAATGATAAAGATAAGCTGGGTAAAGTGAATAAAGCACATAGTGATTGAGCATGTAACAAAATATACAAGGTTTGAGCATGTAACAAAATATACAAGGTTTCAATGATTTTGATTCTGTACAATGATTAAAGAACATCTGTGATTCAGATTCAACCTAATATCTTTTAATAAGTTCTGTTGGCAGCAAGCATCTGATTAAAGTCTTTTGCAGTGTGGATAGAGAATATCCACTGGCGGCAGCGAAGGAAAGAGAGAACATCACCAGAGTGAACCCTTGGTTTGGGAGATACAAGCAGGGGACACTGGGTGAACATCACACAGGCTAGTCCAATATATATTTTTGGAGTCCTAGAAATAATTGCATGTTTTCTGAGCACAGAGATTTAGGCCTAGCAATGAAGCATATGAGACACAGGGCAATGCCTCTAACATCAGGGTCTGATGTTTTGCGCCTTTGACAAAATATTTGATAAAACAGTTAACAGGCAACATGTGATGACTACTTTAATTATTTTCTTGGTCCTTGTTTAACTTGAAACTTAAAACGTCTCTGTAAATTATTCTGCTGCTTAATTGTGGTTGGACTTGATTCGTTAATAGGCAGCTTTGTTAAGAGGATTCCCTAGCAACACACAGCTTCTGCCACGCTGAAATTGCTGATCAATTCTGCATTCATCACACTTGATTGCCAGAGTAGTTCAGCAATCCATATAGTTCTTAACACAGGAGTTTAGATCAATGGTTCTTAACTTGGGTTACTCAGGAGTTTTGGACTGCAACTCCCAGAAGCCTTCACCTCCAACTGTGCTGGCTGGGGTTTCTGGGAGCTGCAGTTCAAAAGCATCCGAGTAACAAAGGTTAAGAACCACTGGTTTAGATGATATCCTTATATTCTTATTTAACTTAAATAGCTGACCGTGCTGGTAAGTTGATAGTACTTCAGCCACCCTGTTCCTGCAGCATCAGCAGTCCTGGATGTTGTAGTGTACATGGGGACGATCCGCACATCATGGTAGCCTTAATCAGAAAGCATCCGCCAGTTTGAGCAGCTAAACAGAGACTGTTAAGACAAAGGTGTCAGAAGGGAAACCATCTGCAATTGATGACTTACAGAAATATCGCAATTAAACAAATGGTTGGCTATGGCTGGAACTACACGGTCAAAATACTGCAAGATTGGTTGTGGGTATATAAGGAATGAATTTGCTTTTTTTTTTACGATCACATGATGCAAAGGCAAATTTGAACCAATCTGGCCTTTTTTACTCCTGACACAGTTTTTTTTCCCTCTGGCACTGGGGGCTTCTATTTTTTTCAAGCTGGTGTGATTTGAAAGGCCTTTCCCCCATGGGAGCAGTTGTTTCATTCTGCACCATAGCAGGGGAGGGTGTGTCTGAGGGTGGTGTTGTGACATAGGCAACTGTGGCATGATATTTAGGAACTGCAGGAACATCCACCCCAAATGTTTTAAATTTTTGTATAAACTAGTTCAGTGCAGAGTCATTGAGTTGATATTAGTTAAACATCGACACAGAATTTTAAAAAATCAACCCAGAGTCCCTTCACCCACTACAGGACCTTTTAAAAAATCATAACCTTTCGCTTTTCCCAATGCAGAAAGACCAGCCTAGCCCATGTGTACAAAATGGTGCTTGGGAAAACCACCTCCCCCCTCACCTCTTGTCTCACAAAGGAGGAACAGGAGTGTGTGCACACACACAAGCAGTGCCAGCATTAATCGCTCTCCTCAAAGCCCCTCTTCCAAGACAATTCTTTATTTTAAAACCTTAATTTCTTGGGCAGACCTTTATTTATTTACAGCTTAACAAGCTGTCTGTTTGGCAAGACAAGAAGAAGAAATAGTCATTGAGGATGGAAAACCTTCTTAAAGTGGTTTCACTGAACTATGCCACCTACAGGTGTTTTAAATAGAACTGCAATTAGAAGGATTTTTTTCTGCTGCTTGTGAGGCCACTTATATGAATGTCCTAATGCGACTTCACAGCAAGAGAAGGTGAGTTAATTAGCATTTCCCTCACTGTGTAGTCACACCCTGTGCCTGATACCTTAAACTTTTCAAATATTGATGGTAAGATCAGAATACAACACTGTACAGGAAGATATTGTTACATTGTTGGAGAATTTGTGGCTATTCAGATGGGGTTGGACTCCAGTTCCTATCAGTCCCAGCCAGTTTGGGCAATTATGAGAGATAGTAATAAAAGTAGGTCATCACCCCTGAGAATGCTGCATGTTCTCTGGCCTTGCAGAGTAGCCTTGTAGCAAAATTTGACTTGGAGCATCCCAACCTTTGGTGGAAAAATGGCATTTAAATAAAATGCATATTCAATAAGCAACAGTAAAACATTAATTCCAGAATCGAAGCAAATAATCACAAACAATCATATCAATATTCATCTAAATATCAAACTAAGTCTTTTTACTGTTGCAATAATTTCAGACATCACCAGTTTATCTATTTCTTCAAGCTTTATTTATCTACATTGCTTCTATGCTCCATATGCATAAAATATTTCAGAGTTATAAATCCAAAAGTCTTGCAGCTATGAAAAAAGTTGTAGGCACATATACTTAGAAATACATCCTTGCAACTTATGAAAAGTTATAGGTGTCAACACTTAAGTTATAGACATATAAAATGCAGCAGAATATCTTTTAAGATTAAGATTTTTGTAAGAGTAAAAAAGCACAATGATAAAATTTCAAGTTACATTCTAAAAATGTAAGAGCTTATAGCCTAATAAGGTACATATAAAAACAGAAGATGGAAAATATACCTCCTAGTAAAAGTATTATAAGTACTGTATTAGCAATCTTTAGCATTATTTAAAAAGCATGGGAAAATATCAAGGTTGTTAGAAGTGAAAATATATTAAGGAAATAACTTCCTTAGCCTCTTAGCATATGAAGAACACAAACAGGAAAATAATACATTTTGTATGGTTGTTGTAGGTTTTTTGGACTGTTCTGGAGGTTTTTCTTCCTAACGTTTCACCAGTCTCTGTGGCTGGCATCTTTAAATTTCTATTACAGTGCATTCTAGCTGCTGTTCATGTCGATATGTAGAAATACCCATAGATTTCCTTTCAAAATGAATCTTCTACATTGCCCCCTTTTTTCAAATGTTCTTTGGTAAAATGAAGTGTTTGCCAGTAAAAGGTTAGTACATGATCCCCTGAAAGAAATAGTACAGTATGTATGAAACAATCTATCAACATACTTTGAGTCTGACATTGAAGCAAACCACGTTATTGGAGTCTGTATTATAATGTTGACTGACTGACAAGATAAACTGCCCATCTTCTATGTATTGAGTGGAAGTATCTTCTGAACATGGCTCATCACCTTTGGAACAGGATCACCTTCATACATGGTATGCATCTAGTTAGCTAATCGATCTTGGGATTTTAAAAAAAATATGTGAATGCTTCCCAACATATGTTTTAGAGAGCATTTCCACTGAGCTCATTCTCTGACCTCTGGCTTTGCCAAAATAAACAATAATGCCCTGTGAATATAACATTGGGTGCAAGGTTTCAGGTAAGTTTTACAAGACATGGTTTACACATTTCTTTTCGAATTCTACATACTCCATCAGCTCACATTTTTTTGAGTTTCTTAAATGTTAATGCTTTCACTCTCACTGAAATATCACATCCACCAATTGTTTTTTGCTCATAGCAAAACTCCAAACCCAGGAGAAAAACATCACATGCTACATTTGTTTTGACAACCATGATTAGTGGGGCTCTGGGAGGGACCTCAAAAGGCGAGAGTGACCTGACACCATTTCTTCTTTGATAAATGTATGCCCTTTATTATTTTGAAAGAAACAGGGCAACAGTGATGTATATCAGAGATAAGACAAAAAAGTTTGCACATATTGGTATGCCTTAAAACCAACATTAGGTCTAAATCTAGGGCTCAGTATTTTTTTCTTTGCTGCCAAGCATTTTATACTCAGAAAATAGTACTGAATTTAGCTGAACCCCTGCCTTATTAAGTGCACTTCAGATTCCAGCCTTTATCTGCACAGAATTATTGATAAAGTGGCAGAAGCGATGAAGTGTTCTAAGGAGAGCAGAATCTGCCAAAGAAAAGGATGTTCTTGGTTTTGTTATGCCTGATAAAGAAAAGAAAAGGATGATCTGCTTCAACTTTTATTGGCTGCACAGCTGATCTCGTTACAATAACAGCTGCAGTGGCAGCTGCTGCCTCAGTGCCCTCTTCGTTGACTTCCAAAAAGGCCTTGTGAAATACCTCTGACAAAACCAAGTCATTTTGGGCTGACATTCCTGAAAAATTAGCTTGGTTTTGATTGAAGGCATCCTTCATCCCCATGCTGCTTAGAGTAGACTTGAGGTCATAACTCTCTTCTAGTTTGATCCTCGGTAGGTGAACCTCCACATCTGTTTTCTCCATCATTTCTGGGCTGGTCCATATTGCTAGCCTCTCATATGTTAGTTCTTTTTCCAGCTACAGTTAGATAAGAAAATTGGTTAGAAGGTGAAACCAAAACACAGCTTTCATGGGGGCAGGGGAAGTGAATTCTGAGTCTTACGCCAAACATTTATGGTCACTCGTATTGCAAAATTTAAAACAAAGATGTCTAGGCGTCCGGGGGCGGGGGGAACAACCCTCCAGATCAAGTTTCTGGAGAGAAAAATGCAAATCAGAAAAAAAGCAAAGTGTGCTGCTTATATACCGCCCCATAGTGCTTCAAGCGCTTCAAGCACTCTCTGGGCGGTTTACAAGT